ACAACCCAAGTCCTTGATCCTAAATTCTTTCCCAGAACAGCCTTTATTCTTGCCACTTCCTCACTATGATCACCAGTGATGATTATATCATCAACGTATACAATAAGGACACACCTCTTACTCCCTTCTACTTTAACAAACATAGTATGATCCGATAGTCCTTGATTGTAGCCTTATAACTTTAGAACTTTTGAGAATCTATCGAACCATGCTCTTGGAAACTGTTTCAACCCACATAATGATTTGTTCAATTTACATACCTGATTCTCTCTTCCTTTATCAAAACCAGGAGGTAGAGTCATAAATTTTTCTTTCAATTCTCCATTTAGGAAGGAATTTTTGACGTCTAGTTGGTGTTACGGCCATTCAAGATTGGTTGCTACAGATAACAATACTCTGATGGTATTCAGTTTTGCCACTGGTCCGAATGTTTCTTGGTAGTCAATGCCATAAGTTTGTGTAAACCCTCTTGCCACCAGTCTAGCCTTCAATTTATCAATATTTCCATCAGCCTTATATTTAGGGGTAAATACCCATTTGCAACTAACCAGCTTCTTGTTTCTTGGTTTCTACACAACCTCCCAAGTCTCATTTTCTTCCAAAGCTTTCATTTCTTCCAAGACAGCTTCTCTCCATCCAGACGTTTTCAAGGCCTCATGAATGTCTTTAGGAATACAAACACCATCCACATTCACAATAAAGGCCCGATATCCTGGGGATAAGGCTTTATAAGATAGAAACATTTGAATAGGATGTTGTGTACCTGATCTTGGCTTCTTCTTGGGGGCAATAGGCTTCTCTAAGTCATCTTCTGAATTTTTGAACCTTCTTCCTTATTAGGATTATCATTCTCATCTTCTTTAGGACTATTTCCCATAGAATCTGTCATCGGTTCTAATTCCGGTACTGCTTCAGGTATGAGAGCTTTTGTACCATGCTTCTTCTTTCGTGTAAACTTTGATCTCTTTACCTTCTGCACCTGTGTTCTTGTCTCCCCTTGAACTTGCATTTTCGTTTGATTCTGGAATAAAAGAGACAGGCTCAAGCAAAGTGGGATGGTCAAGAGAATCAATAGGTTCAATGGGAGGGTATTCCTTAAATTCACTCGAACTCTCCCCCTGAATTGAAGGAGATGAATAGAAAGGTTCAGATTCAGAAAAAGAAACATCATGACTGATAAATAGATGTTTAGAAGATGGATCAAAGCATTTATATCCCTTTTGGTGTGAGGAGTAACCAAGAAACACACACTTGACAACTTATGGGTTAAGCTTGGAAGAGGAATGGAGATGAGCAAATGCAGAACACCTAAATAACTTTAATGGAAGAATGGTTTCAAGATGAGTAAGAGAGTGGGTTTGCTGGAGACACTCGAGGGGTGTGGCGTAGTATAGGATTTTTGTGGGCATGCAATTAATGAGATAGGTGGCGGTGAGGATAGCATCCCCCCAAAAATATTTTGGCACTTTTGTGGTAAACATAAGAGCACGGGAAACATCTAATATGTGTCTATTTTTGCGTTCGGCCACCCCATTTTGTTAGGGTGCATTCGTACAGGAACTCTTATGGATGATGCCTCGAGTTTTAAGAAAGTTACTTAGAGACTTGTTGACATATTCAGTGCCATTATCTGTTTGGAGAATTTTGATGGATGTGGTAAACTAATTGAGACCCATGGTATAGAATTTGATAAAAATAGAGGGTACCTCAGATTTATCTTTCATTAAATATACCCAACACACACGAGTATGGTCATCAATAAAGGTAACAAACTACTTGGCTCTAGTTCGATTAGAGACACGAGATAGACCCCAAACATCACTATGGATAAGAGAGAAAGGTTTAGAAGGCTTATATTTAGACCGCGGAAAAGAAGAGCGATGATGTTTAGCTAATTCACAAACATCGCAATGAAAATTAGAAATTTTATTAGATGAAAATTGGGAAAACAAATGACTCAAATATTGGACATTAAGATGACCCATTCTTTTATGCCACAATAAAAGATCAGCTTGTTCGGAAGTAGACACAAGGTTGCAGTAGATTCGGGACCATAGATTACTCACGGTTGATTCATCAAGGTAGTAGAGCCCATCACACTCCTCAGCACTGCCAATCATCCTCCCCGATGAGAGATCCTAGAAAATACAGTGAGTAGAGAAGAAATGAGCACTACATTTGGCTTGTTTAGTCAACTTGCTAATAGATAATAAACTGCAAGCAAGATAGGGAACATGAAGAACAAAGTCAAGGTGCAGAAATTTAGAAATAGTGATACTACCCTTTCCTGCAATGGAAGAGGATGTACCATTTGCCATGTCAATTTTCTCATGGCTACTACAAGAAAAGTATGAGGTAAACAAGGTAGAGTCTGCAGTCATGTGATCTGAGGCTCCAGAGTCAACAATCCACTTTGATTTAGTGGAACATACATTGAATGCAAAATGAGAATTACCTTGCTTAGCAACGGAAGCATTATGAAATGGAGGTGACTGGTTGGATTGTAAACTATAGAGCATCTCTAGAAGCTTATTTAACTAATCCTTGTCAATGGTGGGTAAGGTACCCGATTTGTCTTGAGCAGCACCAGATTTATCTAAAGTAGAATCAGAAGTAGTTTGATAGCTATGAGATTTACCTTTACGTGGTTTCCAATCAGGTGGTTTTCCATAGAGGTCCCAACATTTATCTTTTGAGTGGTATGTCTTTTTGCAATGCTCATATATAACCTTTCCTTTTGATTCCTTTTGGCCTTGATCAGATTGTCGGCTCACTAAGGCAGACGACTTAGATGAAGAAAGGTTGAGGAAAGTCTAGGCAACATCACCTTGAGACGTGAAGCCTCACGACAAACATCAACGAATGCATCACAAGTAGATGGTAGAGGAGAGCGAGCCAAGATGCGACTACGAACATAATCTAATGATTGATGAAGACCAGCCAAGAATTGAAATACTCGCTCATCTTCAATAAGCCTCTTATAACGTGCTGCATCACTAAGACAAGACCACTTCATTTCTATGTTGAGATCAATCTCTTGCCACACTAAAGCTAACTCCAACCAGAATTCAGTAAGGTCACGCTCACCTTGTTTGATATGCCAACTTCGAGTTTTGAGATCATAGATTCGAGCACCATCTTCCCCATCTGAGTAAGACTCCTTGACTGCATCCTAAATATCCCGTGCTGTCAGGAGAAACATAAAGGATCGTCTGATTTGAGGGGTCATAGAGCTAACTAACCAAGAAGCCACCAGAGAATTTTCGGCCTCCCACTTCACCAAGGTAGCTGAGTCTGACGCATCTGGTGGTTTGGACATACCTGAGATGAGACCCGACTTCCCATGGCCTCCAACAGCCAGTTGAACACTTTGGGCTCACTCACGATAATTGGTCCCATTGAATTTTTCGGACACCAGGACAAAAGACGCCCTCTCAGCAGAACTCAACCCAAGAAGAGTTCCGCCATTTGAGGTAATTTTTGAGTTAGCCTCAGCACCAGAACCCATGAACGCAAAGGGTTGAGTGCGCGAGTCTGACACTCGGCTAGCTCTGTCGTCTCCATCTGAATGATCGTGTTTAGTGTCTGCATGCTCTGATACCATGTGGTCGAAGACGAGCCAGAGGAAGGAACTGAATGAATGTTATTCGATAATATGGACAGAATATATACATGTATAATAATCTTCTATAAAAGGAAATAAAAAACAAAAGGAAATAAAATCAAATATTATTCCTAATGACCCAATCTTATCAAATCTCTATTTTTACGAGATGAATCCCTCTAATTTCTCTTTAATTATTCTCACAACAATTAGTTCTTCTCGGTTTCGGGTAGTTTCAGGATATTGAGAAGAAATAAATGACTGCTCACTTTACCTTCCAAAGTTTAACTTGTTGCTTCAAGTCCCTTTACCTAATAGGAGGCCCATAAAGTATTGTTTGTGTCATGACTGAATGACATAGAACATTGTTGAGTCTTGTTCTAAACAACACATTACATTCTGCAATGAGTCGGTTTCTTGTACCATTTGTCATGAAAACTAGCATCTTCAACCCTGACATCCGACATAACAAGAACTAAATTTCAGGTCATCAGAAACAGTTAAAATAAATATCCTCACATATCTGGAAAAAACATTTTTCACTTTCTTCCTTCTACTGTGTTTTAAAAGTATTTGAGAATCTTTTAACAATCATAATAAAATAACCAAATTAAAGAAAGGGCCATATCGTGTATATTTTATCGAAAGTTTATTATGCAGTAATAAACAACTAAGAAAAAAACAGATGTGCCATCGGTGAATTTTATGAAATCAGCAGAAGCAGCACATGCTTTAGAGTTTAGACAACGGCGCTCATTCTCAGGCTCTTGCATTGGGGAAAACATGTAAAGAATTCATTCAAAGTCATGATCCTGAAACTCTTGGGTGTGATCAGTAAGTTAGCAGCAGCAGCACATGCTTTAGACAACACTCCATTTTGTAACAGGAAATCAGTGAAGTTAATATCGGAAGGATAACGTAATTATTTAAACCTGTGGTTATAATCTTCTCATTGTGGAGATGTGAAGATTTGGATCCTGATGTTTTATGTGCATAAACTTTGTTTTTAATTTTTGATATTATCTTGGCTCTACTGGGTTAAGATTTTCAAGGCCCAGTAGCGTCCCACACAAACAAACACAGATGGTGATTAGCGCACCAAAGTGCCTTAATACTTTTATAGTTCAGTCGTTTAACATTGTCATTTCTACTAGCTCTGTTGCTGTATCTTCATGTTGCTGCTGTCTTCTTTTGACTCTTATATGCTTCTGTACGGTATATGGTTTCGAGCTCCTATATTAAAAAGTTATGAGAAAATTTAAAAATAATTCGAATGTTACAATACTAAAAATACGGATAGCATGATTCCCTATATTTTTTATATTTTATGATTATGATACCTATATAATACATTTAAAAAAAAATAAAAATAGAGAGATGATAATAGACGTAAAGGTACAAGAAGCCTCAGATTTATATTATTATTAATTTTTTTAATAAATGAATACATAATATATAGAACTTCAGTTGAATTTAACGTTTTGTCATTGAATAATGCCATTTTGTAATTTGCATCATCTATTCACTTGACACAGCTACATTGCTGATGTTAATGCATGCTCTCTGTTGAATCAGTAACCATGACGGTGGACGAATCTGTAAATACACACTTCCTTCTTCTTCTTCTTCTTACAGGCACGTCAGATTCAGGATTGCAACAATGCAGAACATAATAGAAAAAATGTAGTTAAACTCACACACAAAGCAAACAAATACATGAATCAGCATTCAGATGTATGTGTAGGCAGAGTTTTGTTGACCAATACCCATCTCATATCCCTTATCTACACCTACACGGATGGCTTCTACTTTGAACATTGTTCAACAAAGCTGATGTTCAAGACAGAAAAATAAGGAAGACGTGTTTTTATCCAAGGGAAAAGATGTGGCAGAAAAATTAGGAAGACGTGTTTTTATTTAAGGGAAAAGACGTGGCAATTTTGTGGTCCATGATATCCTGATCAAAAACAGAAATCAAGACCCTTGAATTTGTTTTAAAATCGAAGATGCATATTAGTCAGTTACAATGGTGACGCACAAAAGTAAGTCGATACAGAGTAGTCAAGCCAAGAAAGCAGTCGATGAATTAAGCTAGTTGAGCCAAAGACCCACCTCCTACGTAACAGAAATTGCAATGAAACATTTCACCAAAAAGAACAAAGATAAATTCCAATGAAACATATTTACACAAGAGGAGAAATTTTAAATTTAACTAACTGAATATATTTATACATCAGTCCGCCAATAAGACAAAACACTCACATATGCATTTGTGGGTTTTGGAGAGGAAAAACTATTAGCCTGATTGATTCAAAAAATGCGCGTTACAACCGGTATATATAAACCAAGCTGAGAAACAAAATAATAAATACTAAAAACTCCTAACAATCAATAATAATCCCTAATAATCAGGCATGATATTTGCAATAAATTCAATATCACCATACTCCTCCTCAAGTTGGATCATATATGCTAATCATATCCAACTTGTTTATGCAACTTTCAAATGTAGGCTTATGAAGCCCTTTAGTCATAATATTGGTAGCTTGAAGATTGGTAGGCAAAAAAGTCAGACATATGATTCCTTCTTCCACGTTTCCTTTGATAAAATGCCTATCCACCACCACATGTTTAGATTTCTCATGTTGAATTGGATTTAGGGCCACACTTATAGCTGCCTTATTGTCACAATATAGTTTTAGTGGTGAGTCCACCTTGACCAGTATCTCTTCTAGCACTCGTTTCAGCTACAACTCTTTCATTATTCCTTGAGCCAATGCTCTTAATTCAGACTCAGCACTGCTCTTAGAGACAACTATTTGCTTTTGACTCTTCCAAGAAACTAGGTTTTCCCACACGAAGGAACAATAACTAGAGGTTGATCTTGTATCAGGATGAGTTCCTCCCCAATCTGCATTCTTGTTTCTGGAAGAGTAACCCTATACCATGAGTACCTTTTAGATACCTTAAAATCCTGTAGTTTGCTTCCATATGCTTCTTCTTTGGCTCAATCATGTATTAGCTAGCCACACTCACTGCCAAGGCAATATCCGATCTTGTATAGGGGAGATAAATCAACTTTCCAACAAGCCTTTGATATCTTTCTTTGTCAGCGGGCTCTTCTTTCTCATTATCTCCTTCTTCAATCTCATCATTGAGATCTTCTTTTTTTGACTCTTCTTTATTCTTCTTAGGCTTCTTTTTTCTTTGGAATCACAATAGGGGTTTCAGCAGGCTTACATCCCAACATACCCATTTCCTTTAAAAGATCAAGTACAAACTTCATATACATATATACCTTTCTTTGACCTTGTAACTTCCACACCAATGAAAATATTTTAAGTTGCCAAGGTCCTATACCTTGAATTCTTTTCCCAGAGCTATCTTTATTCTTGTCATTTCCTCAAGGTGGTCTCCTATGAGAATAATATCATTAATATATATAGTAAGAATGCACCCCTTACCTTCCTCAGCTTTAACAAACACTGCATATTTTGACAATCCCTACTTGTAGCCCTTTAGCTTGAGGACTTCTGAGAAACTATCAAAACCATGCCCTGGAGACTACTTTAAGCCATATAGAGATTTCTTCAACCAGCACACCTGATCACTTTTGCCTTTATCAAATCTCAGAAGTAAAGTCATGTATACTTCCTACCTTAGCTCTCAATTCAGGAAGACACTCTTGATGTCAAATTGATGAAGTGGCCATTCTAAGTTGGATGCCACAGATAATAAAACTCTGATGGTGTTTAATTTCGCCATTAATGCAAAAGTTTCTTTGTAGTCAATGACATACCTCTGAATGAACCCTATTCCCACCTAGCATACTTTTAACTTGTCAAGACTACTATCAACTCTGGACTTAGGGGTGAAGACCCACTTGCAACTCGCAAGCTTCTTGGCACTCAGCCTTGAAACAATCTCCCATGTTTCTTTTTTCCTTTAAGTTTTCATTTCTTCCATGACGCAACTTGAATGCTGTTAGGAACTACCACTTTATCCAAATTAGTGATAAATGCTTGGTAATTCGGGGAGAGAGCTTTGTAGGACATATGCTTCTATATTAGATATAAAGTACAAGAGCAATGCTGTTTTTAGAGTACAATGCATAAATCCAAATCAAATTGTTCACTCACCAGTTCAAAACTTTGTTGAGGTGGTTTAGGAGCTACCGCTAGTTCAGACTCCTTTGGTGCTTCAGAAACAAGGTGCTCGTCTTCCTTGGACTTATGCTTTCATAAATAAACAAACAAGTTTGCTTCTCTACATCTCCCCCTTCTTTTGAGTTCTCTTTTGTGATCGGCACAATAGATGGTTCGATTGAAGGTTCAAGGCAGGGTGATAGCTTTGGTAATTGTGTTGGCAACGACTATGCTGGTGTAAATTAGGAATCAAGGAGCACCAATTTCTTGCTAGTTTCTTGTTCCCAAAATTGAGATTTCCTTATATTCTCCCCTTTGAATTGAAGAATTGGGATAGAAAGGTGTGCCTTCATGAAAAGTAACATCAAGGCTTACAAACATGTGTTTAAAATCAGGATCAAAATATTTATATCCCTTTTGAGTAGGAAAATAGCTAAGGAAGATGCATTTTGTAGCACAAAGTCTAAGTTCACTAATTTTGCAATTTATGGAGAGGAGTGCCAAAGGATAGGATATGGTTGGGCATTTGATTGATACAATAGGTTGTAATTAAGATGGCATTGCCCTAATAAAACTTCAGAACAATGTGAGTGAACATGAGCAACCTAGCAACTTCCAAAATTTGTTTATTTTTCTCTTCTACAATTCCATTTTGTTGGGGTGTATAGGCACAAGTATTGTGATGGACAATATCATGTTCGAACAAGAAGGCATCAAAGGTTTGGTTAAAACATTTAGTACCATTGTCAGTATGCAAGACTTGGATGGTTGTCTTGAACTGGGTTTGTATCATGTTAAAGAAATTGATGAACACACACGACCTCAGACTTGTCTTTTAAGAGATACACCCAACAAACTCAAGTATGGTTGTCCATAAAAGTAATGAACCACTGTGACTTTGTGCGATTTGGAATACAGGATGGTCCCCACAAATCACAATGTATGGTAATAAAAGGCTTGGTAGGTGTGTGCAGTGTTTTATGAAAAGATGTTTGATGCTGCTTTGCTAGCACACCTCATATTTGACATGATGATTAGTGGGCTAAGGTTTGGGAACAAAACATGAAAGGTAATGGAAATTAAGATGACCCATTCTCTTGTGCCATAACAGAATATTCATATCTTTAGAGGACGATATAGAGTTACATACACTAATGGCTTGTTAGGAACTTATGCTAGCATTATCAAAGAAGTAGAGCCTCTCACACTTTGTAGCACATCCGATCGCCTTCCCCAATTATAGATCCTGAAAGACAATAGGTCGGAAGAAAATTAGCACAACACTTGGATTACTTTGTTAATTGGCTAATAGATAATAGGTTGCATGCTAATTTTAGTACATGAAAAACAGATTCTATAGTGATAGAATCAGAGATGTGAATACTCCCTTTCTTAGTAATAGGAGCAAGAGATCCATCATCAATTTTGACTTTGAGGTTCCCAACACATGGAACATGGATGGAGAACAATTGATGACAATCGGTCATATGATCCAATGCTCCAAAGTCAACAATCCACAAAGATTGACTTCGAGAAGTTTTAAGGGCCCGAAGGAAATTACTAGTTTTAGCCATGAAAACTAAGGATACTAACTCACATCCCACAATTATAGCAGCATGTGATAACTAGAGTTTCCTTTTTCTCTTGAATGGTAGAGAAGCATTAGGCATAAAACTAAGAATGACCAAATACACCAATTTAGAACCTTCAAGCAAAGTCAAAAAATCATAATAAAGGTTAATGAGGATTCAAAGAGACGAACCATACACTAAATCGAGACACCCATAGCAAGGAAGTTTGAGAATGAGACTCCCTATACATGGGTAACAGAGGGATCACGCCAGAAAAAGCTCGTCATTGCCAAAGAAATGAATCACCATCCGTTTGAGTGTGCATGCGCCTCCACATGCCGCCTAGCATCCACTAGCACAGAATCGGCGCATGTGAGCTCCACACACCAATGTTAGCCTTCGTCCTTCAAGGGTGTGCCATTTAAACCCTATGGAGTCTCACTACACTAGTGTGAGAGTCAAAAACCTCACTAGCAGCAATGACAAGAGACGAGAACAAGGCTGCCATGTAGAACAACCCCCAGAACCCTAGAAAAATATTTCAAACCCTATTAGCTCTGATGCCATGTGGGTTTTTGAGAGGGAAAAATATTCTAATTGATTCAAAAAATGTGTCACATCCGGTATGCATACACCAAGTTGAAAGAGAAAACAATAAATACTAATAACTCCTAATAATTAATAATAATCCCTAATAATTAGGCAGAATATTTACAATAAATTCAATATCACCACAGCATTGTTACCGTCTTCGTTGAGCTGTGGGAGGCAACTCCTCTGAGGGACCAGTAGGAAGTTTCTGATTAGTCTGTCGCTCGATCCTCCTCTTGAGCTCTCTAAGTATTCGAACTTGTCCAAGCTTTTCAGGAGATAATTTGTCCCAATAAATCCCTGTAGCCACATATTTTTAGTTGGTCTTTTAAGAATATCCCTATTTAACATCCAAGTGATAGAAAAAACGAAAATTACATTGTTCACACTTGGATATTGATCATACTTGCTGTCACATAAAGTTAAAACTTAAAAGACATAGAAATGAAAGATTGTAATACAATTATAACTCACAACACACTGTACATGCTATCTTTCAATTCTGTAGAAATTATATAGATCTTTTCTTCATTTTCAAAACTAAATACAAAATTCTCTAGAGATTATTAAAGTCACTCAAATTCCTTTATTTTCAAAATTTACACATCATGAAAAAAAAGAGAGACAGTAAATTATACAAACATTTCCTTGATTTTTGTTGAAAGTTACACAAATCTATCATCCATTTTTAAAACATACATAGACCCCTAAAAATAGAAAAGATGTTGTTTCAGCAAAGCTCAGTGAAGGCTTGTGTTTGTTTTCTTTTTTTGGCTGGAATGCTTGTGGAATTTGCTCTCCATTTTCAAGGAATGTTTTATAAAAGTTCTGAAAACAGAAGAAGAGTCCAAACAATTTACTTTTGTTTTTATATTAAGTTTATATACGTTTTGAAAAGAGAGAAGAGATATATGTAATTGGTGTCTCTGCTCAATTAAATTATTTTCACAATGATGTAGTACATTTAAGATTTCACCCTCCAACATTCCTTCAGATGATCTTAACCATGTGTTTCATAGCCAAAAGCAAAAGAAGAGACAACGAGGGTTTCTCATAGGTAGATAGATTTACCAGTGCATGTGATAAGGATCTAAGTCAGCTCAACAGACCACCAATCACTCATCATTGTAGAAAGAACAGGAGATAGTTGAAACTAATGCTGTCATGCATGTTTTAAGGAATTTATCTGATTTAAATTAATTATTGTTGTTATTTTAATTGTTATTCTGTTTTAAATATTAAGTGCTGAATAATAGGACCTCAAGTTTGTAAGGGAGGTTCCTGTGCAGTAGTTCCTGATTTTTAGGCTAGTATCTTGCATTATTTGAATTATTCAGCTGTACTCTTTTATTTCAAACATCCTTGCTCCCATACACAGCAGGATATGAGTTAAGAATAAACCTGATCTTCCTCTGGAGATTCTCTTTCTTGGCTGTTAAGTTATTTAGAGTGAGATTCTTGCTCTAGCTAACTTAGTAGATAACTCTTTTTAATTCCTACTCTTCTAAGTTCTTACCAATTTGGTATCTGAGCCACATTTGATCAACATGGTGACCACACGTTCCAACAACGAAATGATAGATTCACATGTCACTTCCTCTAATAACCCCCCATGCAATGAATCTATTGTAAACCCATTTTCAAAGATCCGTTAACAGTAATTGCTTTCAAATTAGAGATGCTTGATCTGTTAAAAGAGAAGATAGAGGCACTTAAGGCTTCTACAACTAATAGAGGCAAGCAAACCATGGAAAGTCATTATAGGTGCTCTCACTAGGAGAAAGATAGTGAAGATGACTTTGATAGAAGAGGGCCACGACCACCATATACAAAAATGGATTTCCCAAAATTTAGTAGATGGGACCTATTAGGATGGATTTTGAAGAATGAGAAATTTTTCCAGTATTATCAAACACTGGAAGATTTGAAGGTTGATGTTGCTTCCATGAATTTAAAGGGAGATGCACTGGATTTATTCTCTTGGATTAATTTAGCACATACCTTAATTTACTGGAAAGAACTCGTGAGGGCTTTGCAAGAGCACCAAGGGCAGCCTAAATTCCAGAATCTTGATAAGCACCTCTATTCTGTCAAGCAAATGGGATTCGTTCAAGAATATAGACAAGAATTTGCCAAGCGTGTAGCCTGAGTTTCTCACTAGCCAAAACATTGCCTTCTTGGAGGTTTTTTGAGCGGCTTAAGGGAAGATTTGAGAGCTGATGTGCGAATATAGAAACCATGTACTATGTTTAAGGCAATAAGTCTTGCCTTAGAGTATGCGAAAAAGTTTCAACTTCAACGTAGGCCCAAGCTCACAGCTTCTTATGGTCAAAATTGGTCCAACCCTTATTTCAACCAACAAAATAATTCTTTACGTGACTCACAAGGGACAACTTCAGCATTTACACCAAATGCACTCAAGAGCACCAACGTGTCATCTCTAAATCTTCTTCCAAAAAGTATGACGCTGATTAGACCTGCTCTCTCAAACTCCGAACAGTAGTGCCACAGGGATAAAGGTCTTCGCTTTTGTTCTGGGGACATTTTTTTCCTGGGCATTGATGTAAAACCTCTTCTTTCTCTCTCATGGAGATCAACAAGGATGGCCAGCCTTTATCTGAGAAAACCGAAGCCATTACAAAAGCCGAGGATGAGATTTCGGAGACTGCAAAGATCTCGTTTAATGCTATACTAGGCAACAACACTGCAGCAACTATGAAACTTAGTGGTTTAGTGCAGAATCTTGATGTATTGCTACTTGTGGATAGTGGATCTACACATAATTTCATTTCTAATTTATTGGTGCAAGAACTGGGCTTGCCTACTTGCTCTATCTCTATTTTTGGAGTTTAGATTAGAGATGGCAGAATTGTTCGCTGCAACAAGTTATGTAAAGAAGTGGAAGTCAAGCTTCTAGATTTACCTCTTAAGCAAGACTTCTACCCCTTCTCTCTTGCGAGAACCGATATAATCCTAGGAATTAAGTGGTTGGCCTCTTTGAACACAATCCAAGCCAATTGGAATGAAATGTTTTTAATTTTCTAGGTTGATGGCAAGAGGTATAAGCTTCAAGAAGTACCTCCCCTGCCAACTAGAAAGCAAGCTTGCACTTAATGTTTTCTTCTAAGCTGAGATTGGGGTCACCAAATGCTAAGTCAATAGATGTGGACGAGCTCATGGTGAGTTTGATAGCTTGTTTGATGAACCCACTACTTTACCACCTTTCAGAGATCACCATCATGCCATTCATCTGTTACTTGGGGCTTAACTTCCTAACTTACGTCCTTATTGCTATCCTTACTTCTGGAAGACTGAGATTGAGCAACAGGTGGATGAATTGTTACAGAAAGGCTTCATACAGCCAAGTTCAAGCCCTTTTGCTAGTTCAGCTTTATTAGTAAAGAAAAAGGATGACTCTTGGAGGTTGTGTAGACTATAGGGCCTTAAACCAGATCACAGTCCCGAACAAATACCTGATTCCCAACATTGATGGGCTTTTAGATGAGCCACTTATTTTTTTAAGATCGATCTCCGCTCCGAGCGCACCACCAGATACGGGTCCTACTAGCTAATATTCACAAGACAGCATTTAGGACACATAGTGGACACTATGAATTTGTCGTCATGCCTTTAAGACTGACAAATGCCCCTACTATTCAAGCAGCCACGAACGATCTTTTCACCCTTATCATCAAAAGTTTGCATTAGTTTTCTTTAATGACATCCTAGTCTACAGCCCCACTGCAACACAGCATGAAGTGCATCTCCGATTGGTGTTTACCACCTTGTAGCAACAACATTATTATGCCAACTTTAAGAAGTGTGAATTTGGGCAGACTCGTGTATCCTTCTTGGGGCATAAAGTTCCACACAAAGAGTGGAAACAAACTTCGAAAAGATCAACACTATGAGTAAGTGGCCAGAACCTGCCCGTGTGACTAAGCTTCATGGATTCCTAAGGCTCACTGGCTATTATCGACAATTTGTCAAGAACTACGGTATTATTGCTCGTCCCCTCACTGAATTAACTAAAAAGAATGCTTTTTGCTAGTCACCTAAAGCACAGAGAGCTTTTGAGAGGCTTAAATGTCATCTTATTACTGCTCCTATTTTAAAACTTCCTGACTTTTCTGCTGAGTTTGTTGCAGGATGTGATCCATCCATGAATGTTGTTAGGGCAATTCTTATGCAGAATGACCATCCCATTGCTTTTTATAGCAAAAGGCTATCTTTCTCTAACAAGTTTCAGTCCACTTGTGATCAAGAACTTTTGGCATTAATCTTAGCACTCCAAAAAAGGCGTCATTACTTATTGTGAAGGCATTTTACAGTGACAACTGATCACAGCAGTCTAAGGAATTTGCTACAGCAAAGAATATTGACAAATACCCAACAACGCCTCATCCTTAAACTCCTTCCCTTTGATTTTACAATTGTGTATAACGTTGGAAAAGAAAATTTCGGGGCTGACTCACTGTACAGGAGGCCACAACATGCTATGTTTCTCACTATGGTGATACCTATACCTTTGGACTATCTAGAATTACAGGAGGCTTTGACCGCTGACTCATTTACAGCTTCTATTATTGCTGCTTTGAAAGAAAAGCCCAGCTCTCGCCTTGGTTACAGCTTGGTTGAGCAGAAACTATATTTTAAAAGGCACTTGGTCATTTCCTAAGGCTCCTCTCTTTGCTCCAAGCTGCTACAAGAGGCGCATGTAACACCTTCTGGGGGTCATGATGGCTTCTTGAAAACTTTAAAGCGTCTATCCGGCGCAGTTTACTGGCCCAAAATGAAACATGATGTGAAAGCTATAGTGCAACAATGCTTTGCTTGTCAAAAGAATAAATATGAAACTATATTGGCAGTAGTTAAAGCATCTATCAGCAATGCTTATGCATGTGACACCTTCCGGCTAGTCTGTTGCAGCCTTTACCTATTCCTAACCAAATTTGGGAAGATATTTCTCTTGATTTTATTATGGGGTTGCCAAAATCTGGTGTCTTTGACACTATATTGGTGGTAGTTGATTGGCTGAGTAAATATTGCCATTTTATTCCCATATCCCACCCCTATACTACAAAATCTATAGCTACTCGTTTTTGTGAAGAAGTTGTTCGTCTGCATGGCATACCTCGTTCTATTGTTTCAAATAAGGACCCACTTTTCTTGAGTGCATTTTGGTAGGAATTGTTTAAGCTAAGTTAGACTGCCTTCAAATGAGTACTGCTTAACACCGACTGATTAATGGGCAAACTGAAGTGGTCAACTGTTGTCTTGAGACATACCTAAGGTGTTTTGCACATGAACAGCCACGTTCATGGAATAAGTTTTTATCTTGGGCTGAGTTTTTATTCAACACTGGCTTCCATGTTTCTGCCAACACTACACCCTTCAAGGTGGTTTATAGTAGGGGCCCGCCTCCCTTTCATCCTTTCATTAAGGGTGAAACTCATATTGATGACCTTGCTGCACAATTGGAAACTAGAGATCACATGTTGCAGCTGCTCAAGGATAATTTGCAAAAAGCTCAACACTAGATGAAGATGTATACAGACCATCATCTACGTGAGCTCTCTTTTGAGGTAGGTGACTCAGTTTTCTTAAGGATACAGCCTTTTAGGCAACGCTCGCTGTCACACAAGAAGTATGATGAGCTCTCACCTAGGTTTTTTAGGCCTTACACCATAGTTTGCAAGGTGAGACCAGTGGCTTAGGAATTGGAGCTACCTTCAACAGCTAAAGTTCACCCAATTTTCCATGTCTCATTATTGCAAACAGCTCGGGAATGCCTCCTCTGGACCGTCCAGCTGAATTGCCACTCTCGGCTGATTTTGAACTCATTTTGGAACGTGAAACAGTCCTATCTCATCGCTAGAAGGATCTCATTTAGAGCTATTGATCCAATGGGAGTTTAGACCAAAGGAAGAATCAAGTTGGGAAGATTATGATCTTTTTGCACAGAAATTTCCAAACTTCTGCCTTGAGGACAAGTCGTTTTTTCAGGGGGGGAGTAATGATAAGGATCCAAGTCAGCTTAGCAGACCACTAATCACTTATCATAGTAGAAAGAAGAGGAAGATAGTTGAAACTGATGCTGTCATGCATGTTTTAAGGGATTTATCTTATTTAAATTAATTATTGCTGTTACTTTTTATTGTTATTCTGTTTTAAATATCAGTTGCTGAATAATAGGACCTCAAGGTTGTTAAGGAGGTTCCTGCAGAGTAGTTCCTGATTTTTAGGCTAGTATCTTGCATTATTTGAATTATTCAGTTATACTCTTTTATTTTAAACATCCTTGTTCCCATACACAACAGGATATGAGTTAAGAAATAAACCTGATCTTCCTCTGGAAATTCTCCAACTTGGCTTTTAAGTTATTTAGAGTGATATTCCTAGCTAACTTAGTAGATTACTCTTTTTAATTCCTACTGTTCTAAGTTCTTACCAGCATGCAACTCCAAAAGTAATCGGGTAAGAATACAAAGTGGGAAAATTGAATAACACAAGGGAAAAAATCAATCATGCCAGTTCATAAGCATCAGTACTGCACTTTCCTCAGAAGGCATCTCAGATATCTACAAACAAAAGACTCGTTCCTGACATCAATCGAATCCGCACTAAGAAGAAAGCCATAGTTTGAACACTAACATGAAAAAGAGTGTATTGTCACACCAACCTTGAGGCTTCTGAATTGATGTGTTGGTGAAAATGACCTGCGTTGGAGTGCATATAATGTCCACAGGCACATCATGGATTAACAGCTTTTCAACCGGAATATCATCCACCAATTGGCAATCATGCACTGAAATGGTAGTTCTTGCATTACTGCATAGGCTATAATTAAATAAAATAAAATTCAATTATATAAAAACATAACCATGATTTTTGAAAAAAAAAAACCGTGAAACAGACTTAATTACAGCTTATTGTACTGAAGTTGCAGTTATTAATAGCGAATTTAACTCAACTAAGAATGAATTTACTAAAGCTAGTCATACTGAAATTGTAGTTATCGATGGAATGCTAGAGTATTGAGGTCATCCCATCTGGAAAAAAATTGTAAAGAAAAAGAATTTAAAGTGTTTCCATTTTTCAATACAGACTTAAATTATGTCTGAAAAAAGTTTAGGTAGGGGGAAACTCATATGAATCCAACAAGGGAAAGTGATTACCACTTACCAGAAGTGACAACAGGTGTTGAATCATCAATAGCTCCCATATAACGCAGCATCCCATACTCTAGTTCTGCAAACCCCTGCACTTCACCGTTCTTAGTTGAGTTTAAGGGAAAACACAACTTCAAGATCCATTGCCATTGTATTTAAAAGGTACTCATTAGCCAAATATAATTATTGCTTTATCATCACAAAAAGCATTTAGAAAACATTCTGTAGAATGATCCCATAATACATTAAGCAAACTGATAAGCACCAACTTTGGTTTCTGTTCACATCAGAGGAACGTGCATGTGTGTACACAGAGAATGGAAGCCAAAGACAGTTCTAATTTCCTATGTTCGTATGTATGTCCAAAACGCTGAAGTCTGGAATCAATTATAGTCTTAACTTCTTACACATGAGCTAATGTAAAGGTGATAAAAATTATGAGAAAACCAAAACACGTGCAACATTACCTCTCCCTTTCCCAATCGAGCACCTGTTTTTGGGTCAACAGCAACTGATCCAATGACAATAAGATCTACCTTTATCTTTTCATCTAATCCAATTGGCTTCCCATGCTTGGCAACCCCAACAGAGGTACAGGCTTCCTTGATGGTACCCGGGGTTAACATATGGGATTCAACAACAGAGAAAAATCCAGTCCTTAGACGTGGCTGAGGAGTTAACAACTTCTTACCATCTGCACAGGAAATGATCAAACAATTAAATTATTCTCATCACATTTAAAAGAGAACACAAATCATTCTCAAACACCAGCTAAGACAAGGAAAGCTAAAAAGGCAACACTATTAAACCACCACTGGTATGATCTCTGCTACTAGCTACTGCTACAACCATTACCAGAAACAACCCATCTTACTTTCAAATCTATTTTCAAACCAGATTGCAGTTCAAGTTTAATCCATGAGAACTTATAAAGCCTCTGGCAATTGTTTGCTATAAGCCACAGTAGAGTGAATTAAAGGCTACCATTTATCTACAGATATTTCAATGGTAGTGATGTTATTAGTTGATGACAAATTGACCCAAAAACGCCCAGAAGATTAGATATTCCATGACACAAAATTGTGTACTTTGGCTAAGATGATTAGATAAAATTACTAAGTGCTAGGTCCATACGATTCAATCATCATGCAGGAAAGAGTCATCTCTTTCCAAAACTCAAGGATCCTTTAAACTGAATCACAAAAGTCCAAAATCATTCTTTCCACAATTTTAGATGCCTAGGTTATAGGTTTAACCTACGTGCTAATCGAAACTCTACCCTAAAGAAGTACACTGGTCACTAGACCCCTAACTTGAAATCGCTCATCATGGGCAAGCAGTCCAATCATTTGGTACAAAAATGAAGACATACAGGTCTTCATTTGCCAATGGGAAGTCAATCAGCAAAGCATTCAGGACTCCAAATTTCAAAGGCCTAAGATTTGGTGGGAAAGAAAAACAAGGTTTTGGACAGATATCAACACCCTACTATTGTTCCTTTCTGCATATTACGTATTAGAATCTTCTACCAACGTTTACAGGCCTCCTATTTTTGCTACTTGTGTGTGTGTGTATAACAGGACAAACGTGAAATTTTAGCGGTGAAGTCTGCAGTTCATCAATCAAACAAAGTGATCGTAGAAAGCAAAGCCCCACCCAACACCCAAAGTCCCCAACAATAATTACAAATAGAATAGCTAACCTGAGAGAGTAAGAAATCTGACTTGCTTTTGAGGAGAATCTGGGTTAACCTTCACACATTGTGCACCACGAAACACATCCAACTCCCTCATCTGCCAAAACCCACATCAAGTAACTCCACATAGATTCTAACAAAATCCATTAGCCAATAGTCATTACCCAACCCCACCAAACTATTACTTCCACTCATAAACAGGAAAATTCACTGCAAAACTAAGTTAGCTCTTGGTTCTTATAATCTCATTCAATTTTCAACTTAGTCCACATACGATAGCACATAGTTAGCCACTTTATCAAAACGTATGGTTTAATGGCAGGGACAAAAAGCAATCTTTCAAAAACAAATTAAAAATGGTATGAAACTATCCAAAACCTTCACCGTATTTTCTTCTCAGCCAAACTGAAAGTAGATGCAGCATGCATGAACTTAGCATTAACCTTGTCAGCAGCAACTGAAGCACCCACGAAATTGGGAATCCGGTGGTGAACGGGTCGCGGGTTTTGAGCGAAGTTCTGGGCCTCCATTTTGTCCCAAATTCTTTTTCGGATTACCCATTTCCAAGCTTTCGGCTCGTTTTTTTGGTCCATCTCTCTCTTAGAAGTCTCTGCCATGGTTTCCCGCGCCTCGGCATCAAGGCGGAGCCTTTCGACCTCAAAAGCGGCGTCGTCGAAAGCGGTGCTCTTGTGGGCTTTACTGCTAATGCCGTTTTCCAAGAACCTGCAAGAATTCTTTGAAGGGAAGGTTGAGGGGAGAAAAAGAAGTGGGGGACTCCAAAGCGAGCTGCAATTCTTGAGCTTGAATGGAAAGTATAGTCGGACAGCATATGAATCCATCGAACGAAGAATTCGGGTTTGGAATTCTAGTTAGAACTGGATAATCGGACAATTGTCTTTGGTACTAATTATCGTGAGAATAGAACTCTGTTGCAACTGTTTTTCCCTTTATTTTAATTTTACTGACACATAATTTTTTGAGGAATAAAAAAATAGATTTTTAATGTATCATCGCAAATTACGTAAAAATTTTAAAAATACACAAATATCTACATGCTTTTAATAAAAACTAGGCAATTTCTCATACTTTACACTGAATTTGTGTAATTTAAAATAAATATTATTGATATCATTGATATGACTAAATTTTTAAGAGTTCACGCGCTCAATCATTTTTTTTTTTAAATATTTTTTATATACATCTTATCTTTATTTTTGGAGCTTGTAATGAAAAACTTATTTAAAAAATACCTTCTTAGAGTGCTTAGAGAATATTAGCCCAAAAAAAAACTTCTTTAGCATACTCAATAATCCCTCATTTTTGATTAAGTAAAAATATTAAACATTAATTTATGAATTATAACATAAATTATAGTTTCATAAATATGGATATAAGAAAAAAGTCAAAGGGATTCCTCTTTTTTTAATTGTATTCTATTCTTTTGTAATTTTTGATTCCCATTCTTCTTTTTTCCAAAACAAAAAGGCTACAAAAAAGATACATTTATCACTCAAATTTTGCCTGTTTAGAGTACGTAAATAATTACCACATTATCTTGTCAATGCGGCATATATGGTAAAATAGCCGCAATTTAAAAGGTCAAGACCACGAGAGAAAGATTGATGATTTAAATCAAACTTAAACTTATTTTTATTCCTTTTATTTTTTTTTTTACAAATAATGCTTATGGATGATAATTGATCAAAGTTAATTGATATTGAGTATAGCGAATTAGGAAAATACATAAAAAATAGGAAAAGAAATTAAATGTCATTTATCAAAAAAATTGAAAAGGCATGAAAAAGTAGAGCGAATCTAAAAGGATGGTCGAATGTATTAATGTTAACGATTAAGGAAATTTGAAAATAAGATTGCTCAATGCTCTCGTAAAAGTAAACTGAAAATAAATAAAGAATAAAAAATTAAATTAAATCTCATTGATCAGAAAAATTAAAAAAGCAAGGAAAAGTACATTAAATGGAGAAGTATAGCTAGATAAAATTAATGCTAATTATCAAAAAAATTTAAAAATGAGATTGCTTTTAAATTAATGCTTCTGTAAAAATGGACTGAAAATACACAAAAAATAAGAAAATAAATTAAATCTTATTAAAGAATTAAGAAAAATTTTCATATTGACATTAACCTAAAATCTATTAACTAATGAGATTCAATTTTTTTTTTAAAAAAAGACTACTTTTGAATCAATACTCCTGTAAAAGTAAACTGAAAAGACATAGAAAATAGAAAAATAAATTAAAAGTAGACTAAAAATATATCAAAAGTAGGAAAATAAATTAAATCTCATTAATGAATCAAGAGAAATTTTCATATTAACATTAGTCTAAAATTTATTAATCAATGAGAATCAATTTTTATTTACCAATTGGATTGAAGCTACAAAATATATATATACACACACCCCACACACACACGTACGTACAAGATAAAATGGCTTGAAAAAGAAAACCAAAGCACATGGAGAAATGCAACAAATATGAGCCATGAACAGAAAAAAATGGAGTCAGTTAATGTGCTTCCATCCAAGTTGTCAATTACAGTTCAAAATTTAAAATTGAAAATAGGTGAGGCCACATGAAAAATTAATTGAATCAATGGGAGAAGATAATTAAATTTTAACTAAGATAAAACAATCAATGACAAGGCTTATAATCTAACCAATGGATGTTTTTTACAAGATTTGTTAATATATATTAAATTCATAAAATATCTATCAAATTTTGCTTTAGCTTAAAAAGTTTTGAAAAAATTAATCATTTAATTCTTATAATTTTGACTTAATTGTAACTCAATTTTAACTTATCATAACTCAGTTCCTAAAGTTTTAACTCAATTATAAATCATCCCTTAAACTTTACTTCTTATAATTTAGTCCATAATATTTCAACCTCTTAAATATCAGTCCCTATATTTTAAAAAATAAAATTATAAAAATTAAAAATATTTTAAACTTTTACTATTATAAAGGGTTTAATAATTTAAAATATTAGTAATAAATGTTAAAATATTTTGAATCTTTATAATTTTATTTTTAAAAATATAAAAATTAATATTTAAAAGGTTAAAAATTCATGGACTAAATTACAAAAAAAAAACTCAAAAATTGATTTACAATTAAATCAAAACTCAAAAATTAAATTATAATAAGTCAAAATTCAAAAATTGAATTGCCACTAAATTAAAACAACAAGAACCAAATCATTAATCTTTCTAAATTTTTTTTAAAATAAATCAACAATCAACCATTGTTGATAAGGGGAAAAATAATCTTTTAGTGCAAATTTATATGTCGTCTTAGGACATGAAAATAATTTAAACAGCGTCCATTTTCTCAATTTTATTTTTTTAGAAAAAGAAGTCTCTGGATAAAAATGATTTTACAGGTAAGAGATGTTCAGATAAAATATCATCGAATACATATTCTAGAAAAGATTAGGCTATTGTCCACAAAGAATATTCCTTATACCTCAAAAAAAAAAATTCAGATGCAATCATGAAAATTTACAATAATGATTGGAAGAATAACAATAAAAACAGAATTTTTGGCTGTCAAAAAGCTCTTTCGGCCACCCCGAAAAAAAGGCGAGAGAAGCTCTAATTGCACTTTTTTCTCCATAACAACATATATGAGACGGCCGTTTAAATAAGTGAAGGATCCCTTTGTTTTATGGGATATTAATACAAGTATTTTGTTGTATCAAAACCTATTCGAATTTCTTACACCACACAAAAATCACAAGCAACTAACGTAAAAAGACAAAATATTAGTAAAAAATAATGACTAATTGCAAACTCTCACAACTGTATGGTTCAAGATGAAAATTAAGTAAATACTACCTAGTTTAGGCATACTTTTTCGGCGTATCAAAAATTCCTTCTTAAAGCGACACTACAAGGCAGAGCAGCCTTCCATAGAGGAAGACAAAGGAAGCAGAGCGAAAGTGTCAAACAGTTAGGGAGAAAGAAGTGAGTGCAGAAGAGGAAGGGAACAGAAACGGAAGAAACATAAGCAGAAGAGAGACAGAGCACAAAAGATACAGTCATCCACTAAAAACAAAAAAAGAGGCTCCTTAATTGATTGGACTAGAAATTTTGGATAATGGATTGAGAATACAACAAAAATGGCCAGACTGACCTGACTTATAAAACATGTACAACAAAAATCTACCCCAACTCTGTCATATTGGCAACCCAAAGAACTAGCAGAGGCAATGGAGTTGAAATGACAAATGACTAAGAGCAGAAAATAGTCAGAGCAGATTTTGTCATTTAAGTAGCAAGCAAAGGGACAATTGCAAGACAGCATAGAAGAAGACGGTCATCTGCATAAAAATTACTCTAAGCCAAATTCAGAATTCTTATCCCTACTAGGATCCACAACCCTTACCCCAGTTGTGTTTGAGTCTCAAATATTATGCAATTGCGAAAAGGAGATCCGGATTATCGAGCCAGAGAGTGAGCTTGCATGCTTGCACACGAGGGCTTCAGTAGCCTGCTCCTCAGTCTCAAACTGAACCAGGGCCTGCTTTTTCCCATTCATCTCAAAGACTTTGCTGTTTACAATTGTTCCATGCTCCTCTAGAAGGCCCACAATCTCCTCTTCAGTGATCTCTTGCGGGAGAGTAGACAAATGGATCATCTTTGTGGGGGAGCAGCAATAACGGTAGTTCTTGGCAGCATTGCGATTGAAACGATTGAGATTAGAATTCATGTACTCGTGAGTATCAGGACCTTGGGTTATGTTTGCATGTTTTGAGAAGTTGACCTCTAACCGCTTCTCAAAGAGCATGGCTCCCTGTATATCATGGCTGAAAGGTTTACTGAACTACTCAACACTAGAGCATTTTTAACAGAAAAAGCATTCATTTGCAGACATAAACGATTAAAGACAATTACTAATTCCTTGCTCAAAAGCTAAATCATGGCAATTAAAGCCAAATATTAAACAAGTTAAGATAAAGAAAATTACAAATTTTGGCGAACTGCAAAATAACCACTTTTATGATGCAGAATAAGAAGATATTAGAGAAAAAAATTCTCACTGAAATACACATATTCCAATCATGGTTCAAAATACAGATACATAGTTTGCCATTTATACATGATACGAACCTTCAGAAAGTGTACTGCCAACTCAGCTTGGAAACCATCCCCCATCTGGATAAGTGCATGATCTGGCTTATTTCGGAGAAGTTTGATCCTCACAATATTCCCATAAATGGAGAACAAGTTGAAGAGTTTATCCTCATCTATTCTCTGAGATAAAGAACATATGAGCCAAGCAAAAAAAAGAGGTAGTCCAGCCAAAAGTAAAATTCTTCATGAAGTACTCACATCAGGATTAAGATTTGAAACAAGAACTGTACACCTGTCATTCGTGCCAGTTATTCCAGGAGGCAAACCTCCACCAAAGGCAGTTGCGATAGCCGCAGCATTTGCCATCTAGGCTTAAAAAGAAATATGTAAGTAACTAATAAAGAACAGGGTTCACTCGCATGCATGGCAACAACCAATTCATGAAGAGCTTAGTCAACTTGATGCGCTAACCAAATCATGTTATCCATTTTCACCCCAGAAAAGGTCATCAATATAAAATTGGGAAAAAATCTTGTTGAGTTAAAAAGGCAGGGGATCCATCAAACTGTTCCGCCTTCCCTAATCAAAACCAGCTTATAAAAAGTTATCTTTAAAACAGCTATTATTAAGCGATTTTTAAATAAAAACTTGTAAAAGAAGAGACATCAGCCATCGAATATTGCTAATGCTACCATTCAATATTCATCATAGAGGTAAAATGACAGTAACTTTCACTAGTATTCAGCTGTTCATGAATAACTCAACCAACACTTCAACCTGGCCTGAATTACACCCACCTGAGAAAAACCACCTGGGAGAAAAAGATAACATTAGTAAATTGTAAGAAATAGTGCAGTTTGACAGACACAATAAACCCATCAATGGAATTTCAAAGATTAGCACCTGGCCTGACACCAGAACTTTGAACAGCATACATGCCTCCCGCATCACCATATCCAGGCTGTTGTATGGAAAATTCAGCAAAGAAGTAAAACGTTATAGAAATGAATTGAGAAGATCTGATTTGTAATAGAAAAAAGAAAATTGACATGACATACTTGAGAAGATCTGCCTTTCTGATCTGCAGGAAGATTTGGGTTTGTGAAGTCCCTGTGAAAGGTTGATAAACAGCAATAATAATGTAAGATGATAAATTATTTGAACGAAAAGGAAACCAAGGAATTCACAAAATCACCTTGAACGGTCATTATTGTAGTTCACTTGTAATTCATCAAGGCTGCAATAAAAATGAATCACAGTCCACACCACGACAAATTAAATGAATAAGAAGGGGAAAGGAGGGGGGGCGTAAAAATGGACTAGTGCAGAAGTGTCATATAAGTCTTTAAGCTCAAAAACCAACATACTCCCTCCAGACCAAAATATAGAGCATTGATAACTCACTCACGGTTCTTAAAAAATGTTAGTTGAAACTTTAATTTCTTAAAAAAAAAAATACAGCATTCCAAATTTATCCTCAACAAATACCCTATATAAGTGTTTTGATAATGATAATTAAAATTCTAATGCATCACTTTTTTGAAAAAGAGTAATAAATGAAGTAGACTTATAGTTGGAAAAACAATTATATAAGTTACTCAATACCCTATATTTTGGACTAAAAAAGGGTTCCAGAAGATGCTCTATATTGTGATTCGAAGGGAGTATAGTGACATAATTAAAATAAGTAAAACCTACTTTGAGAACTGAATGTCCAGCTGACAGCAACCGTCATAAATATTGCGTCCCTAGAGTTTTCAAAAATATAATCATCAAGTTCAGAAACAAAATAAGGGTTAATATACTGCTTAGGATTCCATCCCCTATCTCAAAAATATAACAGCACAAAAAAAAAATGTTCAGCAAGTGTTAAACAACCTGAAGTGTACTTCTAGCTATAACAGCACTCTGGCGTAATTGATACTGAATGAGCGCCTGAAAACCTACAGAGTTGGCAAATGCAGGATGAAACAAATCAGCAAAATCCACACTGACAATACAAGGATCACTCAAGTGAACGGATAATCCTTATCCACTAATCCATATAGCAAATAAAAACCTCATATCAAATCACAGGGCATATTTACTAAAATATTTGAAGCATTTTCCATGACATTAAAAATTCAAACAATTTCATTAAAATCAAATAAACTCAACCTGTTACTTTTCTCACTCCCAATGATAAATATGTGTATGTTTTAAAAGAAATAATGGCATGACAAAAACACAACCTTAGTCCATGGGAAGAAGGCTTGAAACCGACAAGCACCAAGAACTTAATAAGAACAGAAAGAAAGAGAAAGGGAGAAATCTGAGAAATTCTGACCAGCTGACTTCTGAAATGTGACAATCTTTTCCACAAATCCATGGGGAGAAAACACTTGATGCAGCACATCCACTGTTATAGGATACAGCATGTGATGAACTGTAACTAAGAGGATTCGATTTGGCTGCACATCCAGAGAGTTCCCGACAGCAGAACAGCATAGAGAGAGAGAAGAGATAGAGAGAAAGGAGAATAAATAGAAAAGTACATGATTGAAGAGACAAAGAGAAAGAGCATAACGATTTAACAAACTGAACCCAATGAAACTGAAAAGTATAAGATTCTAAAAATAAAATATCCAGGGGGGCAATGTCAGGAAAAGATTAAAAAAGGACAAATGCCAAAAAAAAAAACAAGGTTGCTTCTGCTATCTTGTGCAAACAACAAAACAACCACAATTGATCTCACTCCACATATATTTTTTTGGCCAACATCTCACTTCACATCTATAGAAACACAATACCAACCTCATCTCCTCGTCCTTGGTTTTGATCCACTGTAGTTAGTTCTTGATGAGAGGAAAACTGGACATAAACATTCCTCCCCCTAGAAAGAAAGAAGAGGAGAATTGAATTATTTAGTCAACGTTTATGTCAATGATAATATTTAGTGCTTTTGTAATCTCCATAGAGGAGACATAGAATGAAGTTCCTCAGAAATAATTATAGACACTCAATAAAGTTTTCTAAAGCCAAAATAAGCAGTCTATTTCTACCTTATGCTTGGCTGCACATTTGCATAAAATTGTAAAGCATTAACTGCAGAAGAAATATCTTGCATTTGGAGTAAAGCCTGCAATAATGACGAGTGTTTACATAGGAAAAACATTAATTTTGTAGAAAACTTCAATTTTAGGGCAGACAGAAAATCTTCCTTGAATGCATGAAAAAGAAAACCTGATTTTTTGCACGGAGCATGACAAGCTTAGTAATGACTCCAAAAGGCTGAAATAGCTGAAGTAAATCATTCTGCAACCAAACAAGGTAAAGTTTATAAATCCTAAAGGAACTTTAGAACTCTGAACGTATAGTGAAATTTTACTTTTCATCTTGCTTTAGTGTTCATCTGTTGGCTTCGATAGTTGTCATTCTGACCACCTTAAAACAAAGCCAAGGGCAGACCTATGATTTGGTTATAGGGGGACCAAGATTAAAGAGCATATCTAGTAAGAGCTAACATAAATTTTGGGAGGCCAAAGATGTAAAAACACTTTCAAGTCTTATTTGTTCATTAGTTCTCAATTCTTCTTTTTATCGCAGGTAGAGTAGCTTGGTTGCTCACAAGGCTCATAACCTTGAGGTCACAGGTTAAAATTCCATCTCCACGACGTTTGTTCGACAAAAAAGGAGGTTTGATTTAATTAACAAGAAATGAATTACTTTTTTTCCTTCTGGGTTCAAGGTGGGGAGGCATACTATACTATCAAAGTCAACTTCATTTGATACTTTATACTATTAAATACATGAATGGGGGCGCGGGATGGATAGCGGGAATCAAACCCGCATCAGATTATGATACCAACAAAAAATTGAAAACTTGGAGTCATTCTCCCACCAGTTTCTTCTCTGGCACTGTGCGAAACTAAGGAAATTATCCATAATAAAAATAAAAATCATATATATAAACTGATTGTTGATCATGCTAAGAAAACTGATGACAAGTACGAAACCCAGAGAAAGAGGGAACGTACTTCGGATATTTCATGCCCCACGTTTCGAACGTGAATAACTTTTGAAGGTTCTGTCATTGTAAACCAACCTGTAAAAAGAGAAGAATTTGCATCGGCTTTTCGTTATTCAATTCACGGTCGATACTATACACTGATCTGAATACTAGAGAGTGAAGTCATCTTCGGACAGAACGCAAGACTCACTTCCGTTTCAATTTCTTTCGAAAAGCAGATTGCATTAAACATCACACGAGTAAATAAATTGTGGGGCGTTCACAGAATATATATATATATCAGGCAAAAAAAAAAAAGGAACTTCGAATCTTCTAGTGAATCTAACAGGCCCAACTGCCCAAGTGAAAATATGAAACTGAGATATCCATTTAAATCCCGAATCTAGACTGGGTAGGATGGTAAGCAATCGGCAGAAACAGCGAAGAGAAAAAGGGTAGCACCAATTTCCAAATCCACATCCCTAAAGTTTCTTCAGACATCGCGATATCTGACAGAAAGCAAACGCACAGCACATTCATTTGAAATGACAAAGTGAAAGCGAGGGGCAAAGAGGACTTGCCAGAGAGAGAGAGAGAGGGGACGGAGGGATAGAAGGTGGGAGATTTGGGAGGAAGGGAGATGTATTGTAGAGCTAAGCAGGGCTGCTAGCAACGCATGATGCCGTGAATCTCATGCCCTACGAGTGATGCCCCTCCCTGTAAATCGCCCAAACTGCATATATACTCATTCACGTTTTGACGGGATGTTCGCACAGCGCTCCTACTTACCTATCTCTTCCGATTATCCACTTGTTATTGTAATTTTCTGCACTTCTCACTTTTTTTTGTCTTTAAAAAAAATTAATTTTTGATTTAATTCTTTATAGTTTTCTTCTTCATCAGTTTATGATCCTATTTTATTAAATTTTTTGTGGTGGAGGGGGGAGGGAGTTTTTAAGAACTAATCTTTTCTATGAAAACGGGGCTAAATGCATAAAAACTTAAATTAATATTGCTACAAATATGCATATACATTCAAAAATGGCATAACATCAATATATCAATGCTACGCGAATATAATAAAATCTATATCAGTTGTCACTTGAGTTTAGTTGAAGTTATAATTATATGTCACTTGATTTAGTATTAATCTTTTTTATGAATCATTTATTTATCTGTCTCTTAAAATATTAAATGCCATTCTTGCGCTTAAGGCTGTGCAGAAAAACCTCAAATCCGGTCTGTTTGGTCCGACCCAGTGTGACCCGGTCCGACCCGATCCTGAAAAATTCAACCCGAACAAAAGACTGGACTGAACGAGTCAGACTGCACATACGGGTCAGACCAGACTAGAGACTGCTCTTTCGGACCAATCAGTCTGGCCCGGTCCAGGTTATTTTTTTAATATTAAATATTAAATAATTATATTATTTACAAAAAAAAAGATCTTACTTAGTTGAGCCCAGCAACAGTACCCTCACACCTCACGTGCATGCTTCAGACTCGGTCTCTGAAGTCTGATAGCCTCATTTGTCATTTATCCATTTCTCCATATCGCATGAAAATATGATTATAGGGTAATTTAAACAAAAATAAAATACAAGAGACAAAAAAAAATGGAAATCTTACATTTATAATTAACATAAATCTCTAACTAGCTCTTTGACACTTGCAAGAATAAAAAAAACAGTAGTAATATTTACAGGTATTGAATAGTATGACACCTTTTTTGCACTTCATATAATACGCGAGAAAGATAATTATTTATACTCTAAAAAACTGAAAGAAACATAATTAATCTCATAACAAGGATCATGTGCAATTAAATAGTGCTTACTTTGAAACTCAAACGGTAGTAAGCTTATTGTCACGGGCTGAGAGTCTGGCGCAGCACACGGCGCCCGTGCAGCGTCCTGGAGGACCCCATAATCCTCAGGACAAGCCTTACCACATACGGATCACACTGGTTTTGCCCTACTATGGGCTCATTAGGGAGGCGGCACTAGCCCCCAACCAGTTGTGCACTCAGCCCAAAGACTGAGGCAGAACGCACCCAATGCCAATGTCGCCCCCTTTACCCATATTGTGTGAGGCTAACCAGCGAATCGTTCATTATCTTGGTCTTTACACGGTCACGGAGATATCATCCGTGACATTCTCCCACACCCAATCTAGCACGCCCTCGTGCTAGGGGAGAAAGACTCCGCCCAAGGATCGTACGTACAGTACTACCACAAATACATCAGCTTACTGCTGAGTGGCCACCCGAGTCCTGCACTCTTCAGACCCACTCGCACCCACAAGCCAACAGGAGTGGAGTCGACAACGGCCAGCCTTCTCGCCCGAGTCACTATTTTGGACCCACCTACTCGGAGGCCTTTCTGGAGCGGTGCCGAGATCGACCAGTCCCAACGTGGGACCCCACAGGCACACGGCAATAAAGTACGTCCCGCTCTAATACCACTCTGTCACGGGCTGAGAGTCTGGCACAGCACACGGTGCCCGTGCGGCGTCTTGGAGGACCCCATAATCCTCAGGATAAGCCTTACCACATACGAATCACACTGATTTCGCCCTACCATGGGCTCATCAAGGAGGTGGCACTAGCCCCCAACCAGTTGTGCACTCAGCCCAAAGACTGAGGCAGAACGCGCCCAATGTCAATGTCACCCCCTTTACCCATATTGTGTAAGGCTAACCAGCGGATCGTTCATTATCTTGGTCTTTACACGATCACGGACATATCATCCGTGACATTATGATATTAATACAAGTGAATAGGAAAGGGGATATGAGGGCCTTTTTCTTTTTGGAGAGAGTTGAATTCAAGAAACTGGACTGGTCTAGTAACCCGGTGGACCAAGTCCAACCCAGTCTAGGTCCCGGGTCCAATAAGACTAGACCAGTCTTTAGACTAAAAATTCTAACCCGGTCTCCATTCAGACTAGACTTCGGGTTGACATCCAACCCGGTCCAGTCCGGTATTTATTCAGCCCTACTTGCGCTTATAGGTTAACTTAAGTGGACAACCGATGATCATCATTTTGCAACATGTCATATATTTTTTTTTTGTTTCATTACCTACATCTTGAAAAAATTGAGATATTATCATCACTCGTTTAAATATAGAATTTGAATTCAGTGACTGAAGTTAGTATAAACATTGAGTGCTTATATCATTTGAGTTTTTAAATTTTAAATCAATGATTATGAATTTGTCCTCTACTTAAAATTAATGAGTGAGTGAGTTTATCTGAACCGTTAATTTAAATTTTAATAACTCAAATGATACAGACTTGTATTAAATACAGTTACCAAATTTAAATCCCTCAATTAGGATTTGAATTTAACTAAGATGACTATGTAGTCCCTTAACCAGTCGATCCAAACCATCATTGGTAACATGTCACATAATTAGGATGTTACTAGTGTCTAGAGAATACCTATGAGATTAATTCTATGCAGCGAAGGAGCTATCATGCCTCTTCTTAACAAGTCGTAGTTTCTTCTCGTGGTTGTAGTCAAAGAAATCCCTCTCAAAAACTCTGACAAATCAAATAACTCGAACAAATCAAATAAAGTAGGCGATCTATTATCAGTCTTTCAATTTTTCCATTTAGAGCATTGTGGCGCCATCCCAAAGAATTTTATTTTTATTTTTTTTATGCACGAGAAGAAGGACCAAAGAATTTGATTTTTAAACCTGATATTCTTGAGGACTAATTAATGGTCTTCAGGGTATATATAATAAGGGTTCATTAATAGAATAGTTATGAGTGACCAGTGGGGATTAGGGTGTGTTTGAATTTCAATTTGATATAATTGATTATGAAAAAAAATTAATTAATATGATTGATTTAAAATATAATTGATTATGTTATGTGGTTTATAATTAATTTATAATATTGATTGATAAGATTGATTTTAATTATTGTAGAAAAGTAGAATTGAAAAGCATAATTAAAAATAAGATAAAACCATAGTTTTGTAAAAATATATCCAAACACTCACATTACATATTAAAATTAATTATGAATTCAAAATCATGTTTTCAAAAAAAATTCAAATACCTATTATACATGCCAAAATTAATTATAGACTTAAAATTATGATTTTCTTAAAAATATCCAAACACCTACATACATGCTAAAATCAATTATAAATTTAAAACCACAGTTATCTCATAAGCTACTACTACCTACTTTTTAATTTAATTTTTTAATTATATATTTTTAAAAATTTATTCAAAAATTATATAAATTATTTTAGAAGTCATATTTTGTAGTTTATAATTAGTTACATACCACATAATTAATTTTAACATATATAATGAGTGTTTGGATTTTTTTGAAAAACACATGCCTATTTGTATTCTAGTTCAAAATCAATTAATTGTTCAGAAATCATGTTTTGGCAAAAATTACCCAAAGACTTATATTACATGTTAAAATTAATTATGAATTCAAAATTATATTTTATTAAAAATATTCAAACACTCATTATACATGCTAAAATTAATTATGAATTCAAAATCATGATTTTTTTTAAAATATCCAAACACCTCTTATAATATCAAAATCAATTATGAACCAAAAAATATGACTTGTAAAATAATTTATATGATTTTTGAATAAATTGTTATAAATGTATAATTGAAAAAATTAAATTAAAAAGTAGGTAGCAATAGCTTATGAGATAATTATAGTTTTTAATTTATAATTGATTTTGACATATATAAATGTATCAATTGTCATCTCTATTGTGCCTTTGTTGATGGGAAAGGCCCATTTTTAATGACACGGCCCAAATGTAGACCTATCAAATTGAGAGAGAACCTAAGGTTTGTAACTCCCTGGGTTAGACCAATAAAGTTATCTTTACTAATCATTCCCAATCTTCCATTGATCAATATGATTAACAAATATGACCAAAATTACACAAGTAGGGTCAACCAAGTTTCAATATTCACAAATGGAATCCTAATATTTCAATAATTGAAAAGCTCCCATATAATTTCATTATATTCAAATCGGAGTTTTTAAAACGACACAAAAACATGAAAATCAAGAAAAACCAAAGCATTTGCATTAAACTTCAAAATAGTGAACACAGTGTAGAAATGGCACTTGCGTCGCGACTAACTGCCAATGTGTCACAGCTCGTAAGCTTCTATACCATGCACCGCAGTGCATTACATAATTTTTGATAATAAAATTCTGATGTTAATGACAGCATAAGGAGTGAACTTTTGACACATTCCAGGTCTCCATCTGTCGATAAAGAGTTTTCTCCTAACTCTAGTTAATGACACAAGCTTCACACCCAAGTTCATTTTTTACAAAGAGTTGAATATCCAAACTCATTTCACAATTTCACATAAATAGGATGTCCAAACCTACACACAAGTGCCAAGAGCTTATACTAACCATTTGACCATATTCAACGGACTATATAAGACTCATTTAACACACCACAATCATGCATATGCATATATAACATGAATTCACCACTCAACCCCAACTTCAAAAAACATAAAGGGGAGGCAATTCTTGCACAAAATTATCCATATTCTTTAATAACATCTCAAAATACAATTTATACTACTTACACAAATATTTTGGCCCAATATAAGGTTTCACAATCATAATTTACTGATTCAGGGCACAAAATACATAAAATTTACACAATGATAATAAAGTAGCTCAAAAATTGATAAATGAGTCCTAGTTAGCAATTCAACAATATCAATACA